AACAGAATAATAAAAACAGCAATAATAAAAGTCAATTAAGAGAATCACATTGAAGCAGTATAGGAAATAACTTACCAATATATCTCATACACTCAACACTGGGCTCCTTTAAAAGTACTTGGGTGAAACATCACATCTACAACAGCCTTCTTGAAGGCCAACAAGGTTGGAGGTATTTCAATCTTGGGGGAGAAGTGGGAAGGAGGGTGCCACAAGTGCCACAACATGAAAGGCACACTTTCAAGGTCCCACTAAGTGGCATGTTTCACCAAGGAGACTTGAGTATGCTCTCTCTGGTAGGTCTAATGAGATGGGCAGAAAACATAGATGCTCCCAGAGCTAATCTGACCCAATCCTATGTAGGGCTTTAAAAGTGAGAACAAATAGAATAGAATAGAACAACAGAACAGAACAGAATTATTTATCGGCCAATTTTGATTGGACACACAAGGATTTTGACTTTGGCGCATATGCTCTCAATGTACATAAAGAAAAATAAAATAGAATAGATTCATCAAGAATCATAAGGTACACTTAGTGATAGTCATAGGTTACTAATAAGCTAACAAATCATAGTAGGGAAAAACAAAACAAAATAAATGGTAAAGATACAAGCAACATGGTTATAGTCATAAGTGGGAAGAGATAGGTACTAGGAAGGATGAGAAGAATAATAGTAATACAGTCTTAGTAAATTATTTGACAGTGTTGTGGGAATCAGTTGTTTAGCAGAGTGATGGCATTTGGGAAAAAGCTGTTCTTGTGTCTTGTTGTTCTGGTGTGCAGTGCCCTACAGTGTCATTTGGAGGGTAGAAGTTGAAACAATTTATGTCCAGGATGTGAGGGTTCTGTAGTACCTTCAAGTGCATCTGGAAGTCTTCTTGAAACTATGTAAAAGTGTAGCTTTTATGACTGAAACTGGGGCTATTTCACTTGCTATTTTTTACATACCACAACAACCTTTAAAAAATTTTAATGACCATTTTTGTTACCTTAGAAACACTGCCTTCAGAAACTGGGAACATTTTCACATTAAGTACCGTAAGTGCTCTTCCACCAACCTACCATAATGCTTTCTGGAAAACTGTGTTCAGTGCCATAGTTGGAATGCAATTTCATATAGCTGTGTTCCAGAATAAATACCAACGCTCTGGAAAGGAATTGTTGTTGTTGTTAGTTGCAAAGTCATGTCCATTCCATTGTGACCCCATGGACAACATTCCTCCAGGCCTTCTTATCCTCTACCATCCTCTGGAGTCCATTGAAGCTCATGCCTATTGCTTCGGTGACTCCATGCATCACCTCATTCTCTATCATCTTTTGCCCTCAATCGTTCCCAGCATTAGGCTCTTCTCCAGTGAGTCTTTCCTACTTATTAGGTGGCCAAAGTATTTGAGTTTCCTCTTCAGGATCTGGCCTTCTAAAGGGCAGTCAGGGTTGATCTCCTCTAGGACTGACCGATTTGATGGCCTTGCAGTCCAAGGGACTCGCAGGAGTCTTCTCCAGCACCATAGTTCAAGCAAAAGAACAAACCAAAGGATTGGAGACAGAAAAATCTACGTTGAAGATTTAGGGATTTTAATTTTTTTTAAAAAAATGAAGTTGAGATGGGATATGATGAAGCTTTGTAAAATAATGGGCATTGTAGAAAGAATAGAGAGAAAATGTTTCATTCTGGTATTGAATAAAAAATTGAGGTGTGATAAGTCAGGGCTGTTTAAATGATGTTTCTTTTCATGCAAATCAATGCATTCTATAATACATTCGTAATAGTGTGATGGAAAGTGGTACAAATGAAGGAACTTGATGAATTTATAAAAAAGGGATAGATGTAAGAAACTTTACAGTAAAAGTTAATATCAGTTGTTGTTGAGAAATTAGCATATTTGTTTTTCTACTTTCCTGATAGTATTTCCATATGTTTCACAGCAGGCGTTACTGAGTAAAAAAACAAAATATCTGGATTTGATTCATCTTCATTTTTATCTGTTGGGTCCTTTGTGCTTTTTCTTATACTGTTTCTGTCAGTAGAAATATAATCAGAGTAATTAAAAGTTCTCCTGGAATTACATTGCAATTATTATAGTATATAATACAAATTATAATTTTCCCCCATAAAAATTAAATAATGGAACAAAAACCTTTACATTGAAATCTTGGCTTGCTGCATTTATCAATGTCATGATAACCATGACCTGGATGACTGAGAATCTTCATATACAATTGTCAGTGTTGATAAAAACTCTTCATCTTTATTCATTCATCATTAAACTATAACTGTAATTGCTATTTTTTTTTTCAATTTCAACAAAGCTGAAAATAAAGTTAAAAAATCACAGTTAATATGGTCTAGGAAATGGATCTCGTCCCAAAGCCAAAAGCTTCTACATTATTTTCGCTACACAGACAGAGAAGAGGCAATGGCTTAATTCACACATTTTGCTAAGTTGTGATGCTTCTTTGTTATAAACCAGGAGAGGAGATAATTTTAAACTTTGCTAGAAGATTACAAAACCCAAAACTTCTCAGTTAAAAAGAAATCCTTAGACTGCCATCATTGGCATTGAGCCTTGTAACATTTCCTGGTCTATCTAGTTGGGAAATTCTTAACGCTTCCATCAGCCAGGGTAGAAACAGAAAGGAAAATGGCTTGGAATTTCCTGCCTAAGTATAGATTTTAAAATCCCTGGGTTGTATGAACAGAGGCATAGAATCAAGATCACGTGAAATGGACTACTGCAACGTGCTCTACATGGGGCAGCCCTTGAAGAGCATTCGGCGACTCGAGCTTGTCCAGAATGCAGCCGC